GCTCTGCCCCAGGCTTCCTGGAATCAGCTGCTGATCAGTTTCAGCAGCAGCTGACTTGGGGACGCCTGAGGTTCTTAAGTTGAATCTGTATGTAAGTCAGAACTGGTGTCCAGATTCAGCGGCTGAATCTGGATGCCAGTTCCGACTTACATACAGATTCAACTTAAGAACAAACCTACAGTCCCTATCTTGTACATAACCCGGGGACTGCCTGTACTCCAGAATACAACATCCATGCTTTTTTAGGTTACTCTAAGTTTTAGTATTTTTATAATTACATAAATTTCATTCCCATTAGTTTTTTTTTTTTAATTTTAAACTGTAGAAGAAATTTACTACCATTCAGGTTTTGTAGATGTATACTGATGTCACTTTGCCAGCTGGGTTCTAAAATGACACTAAAATATTTTAATCATTGAAACGGGACTTCTATTGACACCATTTAGTCAATGCACATTTACATTATGTCACAATCCCCATAAATTTGCATCTGCAATATTGGCATGAAATCAGAGACACCAATGAAGTCCCATTCATGTGAACTGAGAATTAGCCTTAAATATTCAGTATTTTATATGAAGTAACTCCTGTTCACAAATACAACCAATTGAAATCCTACCCTGGTTAAGAGAATGCAGACATACTGGCTAATATCCTCTGTAAATGAAATCCTGAAGGGTCACATAGAATAGGGCCCTTTTTCCTAAAATTGAAATACATAATGAAAAATTGTTGACATTGTAAAAATGTGGGTGTATTAAAAATAATGTTAGGGGAATAGACTTGGATTTTTTTCCAATTTTTTAAAGATTGAAAATACTGTTAAAGCTATCTAAATAGTTTCCAAACTTGTCAGTTTACTGAACATAGTGGTTTTGGAAAAGGATAAATCTGAACCATTTTGGCAATGTTTCCGATAAAACTATATAAAAAAATCAGGACAAATGTGTATAATTTTGAACAGTTGTAATTGAAAACAACTTTGATTTTTTTGTGAAAATCTGATTCACAGTCTTCTTTATATGCACTAGCATTTCAAAAGGGCAAGTTTAACTGCATTTGTTTTTTGATTGAGCATGCTCATAACTAGCTATATTTTCCCGTATTTACTATCTAAGGATTTAA